TTTTCCAGTAGTCATGTATGGATGTGAGAGTTGGACTGTGAAGAAATCTGAGCGCCGAAAATTTGATGCTTTTGAACTGTGGTGTTGGAGAAGACTCTTGAGAGTCCCTTGGACTGCAAGGAGATCCAACCAGTCCATCCTAAAGATCAGTCCTGGGTGTTCATTGGAAGGACTGATGCTGAAGCTGAAACTCCAGTACTTTGGCCACCTGATGCGAAGAGTTGACTCACTGGAAAAGACCCTGATGCTGGGAGGGATTGAGGGCAGAAGGGGATGACAGAGGGTGAGATGGTTGGATGGCATCACTTGACTCCATGGACCTGAGTTTGAGTAAACTCCGGGAGTTGGTGATGGACAGGGAGGCCTGGTGTGCTGCTATTCATGGGGTAGCAGAGTCAGACACGCCTGAGCGACTGAACTGAACTGACCTAATAACTTCAGTCGACCTCTCCATGATTGATTCTTTCTTCCTGTTAAAACACTCTTTTATTTTTTTCAGCTCCAGAATCTGATTTTTCTAAAAAGATAATTTCTTAGTTGATACTCTGTATTTTCTTGAATTACTTTAGTTTGTTATTCCTATGAGCATATTTAAGACAGTTGGCTTTAAGTCTTTGTATATCTGATGCCAATTTCTTAAAGATGATGGCTGTTTTCTTCTTCCTCTATTATATAGGCCATGTTTTTTCCGTTTCTTTGTATCTGTTGTGATATTTTGTTGAACACTGGGCATTTGAAAAAAATAACCATCATCCCAGTGTTTTCACTGCTGCCCACCAGGGAAGACCTTCACTGATGTGTGAGGCGGCTGAGCCTTGGGATCAGCCTGAGGTGGACATTTCTCTCAGGTGTTGTTCTGAGCACATGTCCTGTCTGGGGCTGTGTACCACTGAGTCCACCTTATATGTGACTGTTTTTACATGTCTTAATTTTCCAGACTTTCCCTTTGGCTTCTTCTCAGGACCTTAGATTCTCTTGTTGTTCCACCCGTAATTTCTTGCCCAGGCCTCTCCACGTCTGTTGTCTCACTAGAGCCATTCTGTTGTTTTCTAAGTACTGGAGGAGAGCTGGAGGAGCGTGTTTCAGGTGTACAGAAAAGTGATTTGAGTTTATATATACACACACACACCTATTCCTTTTCAAATTCTTTTCCCTATCTAGATTGCTACAGAGTATCTAGTGGAGTTCCCTGTGCTATGCAGTAGATCTTTGTTGATTATCTCATATATATTAGTGTGTATATTACAATCCCAAACCGCACTCTCCACCTTTCACCTTTATCCCAACCTACCTTCCCTCTTTCATAACCACAAACTCATTTTTAAGTCTTTGAGTCTCTGTTTTTTTATGTCAGTTTTTTTAGATTCTGCTTAAGTACTATCATATGGTATTTCTTTTATTTAACTTAGTAGGATAATCTCCAGGCACATCCATGTTTCTGCAAATGGCATTATTTGATTCTAATGGTTGAGTAATATTCCATTCTGTATATATACCAATCTTTATCCATTCATTTGTTGGACATTAGGATTGCTTCCATGTCTTGGCTATTGTAATCAGCACTGCAGTGAACATTGGGGTGCATGTGTCCTGTTGAATCATGGTTTGCTCTGGATATATGCCCAGGGGTAGGATTTCTGGATCATATGGTAACTGTTTTCAGTTTTTTGAGGAACTTCATGGTGTTCTCCATAGTGGTTGTACCAATTTACATTCCCTCCANGATGTTGAGCATCTTTTCATGTGCCTCTTGGCCATCTGTATGTCTTCATGGGAGAAATGTCTATTTAGATCTTCTGCCCATTGTTGGTTGAGTTCTTTATTCTGGAGATGAATCCTTTGTTCATTGCTTCACTTGCAGCTATTTCCCCCCATTCTGAGGGTTGTCTTTTGGTCTTGTTTATGGTTTCCTTTGCTGTGCAAAAGCTTTTAATTAAGTCCCATTTTTTTTTTTGATTACTCTTAAAGGTAGGTCAAAAACTACAAAGGTACAGTAATTAAGACAGTATGGTTTTGATATAAAAACAAATGAATCAGTGGTATAGGACAGAAAGTCCAGAGCTAAACTCATGCACCTACAGTCACCTAATGAGTGACAAAGGTGGCAAAAATATACAGTGAAGAAAAGATAGCCTCTTCAATAAATGGTGCTGGGAAAACTGGACCGTTCCATGTAAAAGGATGAAATCAGAACACTTCCAAACATAGCACTATTTTAAATGTGACTTTTCCCTGGCTGGGCATATGTTCAGTGCTATAGACCACTGACCGTTTTCCAGAACCCCATAGCCAGTTTCTAGTTTGTTATTTTAAATATCTTCACGAAGCATCAAAGGCTTGGAGCTTCCAGTCTGCAACCTTGGTCTTGGGTGTGCTAAAATCAAGTGCATAATGTAAAGTAGAAGCAGACACATGTAATCACAATCCAACCCAAATGAAACATGCTATCACCCCAGAGCCTTTTTCTATAATCAAAGTCCCCATTGTCCCCCAACTCTCCTCCCCCAAAGT